GGACCTCCAGCACCAGCAGCACGCCTCCAGCGCCGGGCAAACCACTCACGCAGCTCCTGTGGAGAAAGCGGCTCCCGGCGAGACAAAGCACTCGGAGAACCTCCAGGCGAAGCACCTCCAGGCTCAGCACCCCCAGGCGTAGCACCCCTAGGCTCAGCACCCCCAGACGTAGCACCCCTAGGCTCAGCACCCCCAGGCTCAGCACCCCTAGGCTCAGCACCCCCAGGCTCAGCACCCCCAGGCTCAGCACCCCCAGGCTCAGCACCCCTAGGCTCAGCACCCCCAGGCTCAGCACCCCTAGGCTCAGCACCCCCAGACGTAGCACCCCCAGGCCCAGCACCCCTAGGCTCCGCACCCCCAGGTACAGCACCCCCAGCCTCAGCACCCTCAGCAGCACCAGAGTCACCAGTGACCTCGACAGGCTCGACCGCGTCTACCTGGGACACACCTGAAGGGGCAGGACCCTGAGGGGGGAGGGGGTCTACCTGGGGGGGACCTGGTACCAGGAAGAGTGGGGGTGGGGGGAGGGACGGAGTGCGGTAGGGGAAGAGGCGGTAGTAGGGGACCGACTCGTCAAACGTGACGTCCTGGGAGGACAGAACACGGCGAGAGGTGGGGTGGTAAAACTGCCACCCAGGCGCGTCAGGGGGGAACCCCAGGAAGACGCAAGGAGCAGCACGAGGGGATAGTTTGTCCGCAGACAGGTCGCGGACAAACGCCCGAGATCCCCAGACCCGGAACGCCGACGCATCGCCAACCTTCCCCGTCCACAGCAAGGCTGGGGAGGTCTCCGGCCTGGAGACCCTGGGGTGGAGGTTGATCTGATGCGCCGCGTACCGAACCGCAAACGGCCACAGAAAATGGGGGGCAGCCGCATGCATCATAGACGTACGAGCGACGTCCATGACCATGCCAATGCGGCGCTCAGCAATCCCATTTTGCTGCGGTGAGTCCGGAAGCGTGAAGGTCTGACGGATGCCCCGTGCACGACAGTAGGCACGCAGAAGGCCAGAGGAGAACTCTCCGCCTCTGTCCGAGTGCAGACGCAGAACAGGAAAGTCCGAGCCGAAGCTCTGCCTGAGCTGGAGACGAGCTGCGCGGATCCAGTCGATCAGCACCTCAGTGACATCACCCTTGCCGCGCAAGGGGAAGACTGTGGTGTAACGCGAGTAGTCGTCAACAACGAGCAGGAAGTAGCGCTCGTGACCCTGTCCACGGACGCGGGCTGGGCCCCACACGTCCATGTGAAGTGTCTGCAACGGGGCCTCTGTCGGAGGAAACTGGGAGGAGTGAGGGGCAGCACGCAGGCGCCCCTCGACACAGGGGACACAGGCAGGGCCAGGGCCCTGAGGAAGGGGAGGGAGGGACCGGGGGAGACCGGACACAAGAAGACGGGAGGCCATACCTCTGAGCCGAAGCAGAGAGGGGTGGCCAAGGCGGTGGTGCCAGAGGAGAGTCTCGTGAGACAGGAGACGACACGAACAGGGGGCAGACTCAGGACCAGACCTGGACGCCGCAGCAAACACCTGACCCGACGTAACTACCCTACCAGACTCAGCAACTGGAGGAGACGCAGTGGTCAGAGTGTACAGGCTCGACCCCGGCTGACGGGTGAACGTAGCCAGGTGTCGGCCTGTGCCAGCCTCTGTACAGTGGGTCACTCTCTGACGTGCAGGAGTGAACTGGTGGACCCCCGCATCCTGTAGGTCAGCACCACTCACCAGGTTCGTAGAGAACGAGGGGAGGTAGAGACCAGACAGGGTGCCAGAGGGAGCCGCCGGACACGGGAGGACTGTGGAGAAGCGAGACAGGACAGGACCCCCAGAGGGGTCAGCCAGAGACACTGCAACCGGTCGACTCAGCGGTGTGAGTGTGGTGCGGTCCCGAAAGAAGGAGCGAGACGCCCCAGAGTCAAGGGTGAAGGTGAGGGAGGCCGAAGCCGACGCAGTACCTGAGAGCGCAGACTCACCAGTACCTGAGGACGCAGACACACGAGCACCTAGAGCAGCAGCGTCGCAAGCACCTAGGGCAGCAGCCTCACCAGGACCTAGAGCAGCAGTCTCAATGCCCGGATCGGGCGGGAAACACCGGTAACAGTCACCCTCATCACTAATAGACACAGCATACATGGCAGAGAGAATAGCATCAAAGTCAAGATCATAGATGGCAACACCCGCCCTAGACAGCTCGCCCCAGCGAGGGATCTCGGAGGCCTCCGGGAACTGGTGACGCCACGCGTCCGTCAGGCGGCCAAAGCAGCGCTGGGTGGGGTGGGGACCCCCACACTGCTCACCCGCACGGTCGCCAGTGCGCAAAACGTAGGAGCACGGAGCAAAACCCCCACCCCGCTGACGCGCAGTGTACCACTCACGAAGCTGCTGAGGGGACAGGGTGTCACGACCACGCTGCTGCTGCTGGCGCGAGCCACCACCGGAGCCACTCCTCTGCGAAGACCCGCGACCAGCACCACCGCCACCCCCGCCGCCTCCGACGCCTCCGCCGCCTCCGCTACTGCCGCCGCCTCCGCCTCCGCCGCCGCCTCCACCTCCGCCACCTCCACCACCTCCGCTCCCACCGCCACCGCCGCCGCCACCTCCACCTCCACTGCCGCCACCGACCCCTCCACCCCCACCTCCACTCCCACCGCCACCCCCACTCCCCCAACTGCCGCCACCTCCACCTCCACCGCCCCCGCTCGCTCCTCCAGCGCCCTTGCCCCCCTTGCCCTTGCCAGAGCGGCGTCTCCCGCCAGGGGCAGACGCCGCACCGACCGACTCAAGAACAAGGAGGTCGGCCGCAGCAGCAGAGGCAACAGAGGGCAGAAGGGGGGAGGGGGAACACCCCTCAAAGATGGGGGTGCGCGGGTCACCACGAGAGGCCCCTACAGCGACTATGCTCTTCTCGGCCGCTAGGAGGGACTTCTCGAGGAGGTCAACAGTGAGAGTGGTGGGACAGACAGAGAGAAAGTGGTCCCTGACTACGCGAAGGGAGTCAGGAAGGCGAGTGACTATGTAGTAAAGAGTGATGTACATGGGGGGGGGTTCCTGGCGCAGAAGTCAGGAGGGAGTGCAGCGCGGTAGCGAGTGTCACTAGTGCGGAGGCGCGTAATGAGGTCAGTGACTGTGGGAAAGGCAGTAAGATCAGGAAAGAGGTACGGTAGCATGAGACGGCTCAGTGCAGCAGTGGCAGGGGAGGAGTAGCGCGCAACTACAGCGTCGTACAAGGTCTGAGCACTCTTGTACTGACTAAAGTGCGCACGCTCGGAGGTAGGGAGGTGGCGACGCACAGCAAGACGTGCAGCAGCGTCGCGCGTGGCCCACTGGGAGCGAACAGTGGCGTCAGCATCAGCAGCAGGGGCAGTGGAGGTGCCAGAGGTGAGGTCAAAGAGAGAGAGGCCGTCTGCCCTATCGCACTGTAAGAACAGCTGCAGGTCATCTACCCAGACCTCAAAGTCAATGGCCCTACCCTCAGCGTCAAAGGCGAGAACACTAGGGGTAGCCATGACCCTAGACGACTAGCAGCGCAAACAGTGGGGTGAGGACAGTGCAGTGAAAAGGCGCTGTGCTCACCAGACTGGGCAGGTCGGGCGGCCCTGAAGGAGGGCGGCGCGGCGGCTCGGCGGCTCAGCTGCTGGGCGGCCCGGCGGCTCGGCGGCTCCGCTGCTGGGCGGCTCGGCTGCTGGGCGGCTCGGCTGCTGGGCGGCGCGGCCGCTGGGCGGCTCGGCTGCTGGGCGGCTCGGCTGCTGGGCAGCTCGGCTGCTGGGCGGCTCGGCGGCTCGGCTGCTGGGCGGCTCGGCTGCTGGGCGGCTCGGCGGCTCGGCTGCTGGGCGGCTCGGCTGTGCTGCTGCAGGGCACGGGGCCGCAGGTAAGGGCGGCGGGGCCGCTGGTAAGGGCGGCGTGGCCGCGGGTAGGGTGGCGGGGCCGCAGATGGGGTGGCGGGGCCGCAGCTAAGGTGGCGGGGCCGCAGGTAAGGTGGCGGGGCCGCAGCAGAGGGCGGCGGGGCCGCAGGTAAGGGCGGGGCCGCAGGTAAGGTGGCGGGGCCGCGAGGAAGGGCGGCGGGGCCGCTAGGTAGGGCGGCGGGGCCGCGCGATGGGGCGGCGGGGCCGCGCGATGGGGCGGCGGGGCCGCGCGATGGGGTGGCGGGGCCGCGAGGAAGGGCGGCGGGGCCGCGCGATGGGGCGGCGGGGCCGCGCGATGGGGCGGCGGGGCCGCTAGGTAGGGCGGCGGGGCCGCTAGATAGGGCGGCGGGGCCGCGCGATGGGGCGGCGGGGCCGCGATGGGGCGGCGGGGCCGCTAGGTAGGGCGGCGGGGCCGCGCAATGGGGCGGCGAGGCCGCGAGGTAGGGCGGCGGGGCCGCTAGGTAGGGCGGCGGGGCCGCTAGGAGAGAGGCGGCGGGGCCGCGAAGACGGGCGGCGGGGCCGCGGAGACGGGTGGCGGGGCCGCAGTGCAGGGCCGCTAGGGCGGCTCGACGAAGTGAGGGCCCGGAGCGCGACTCGGGCTGAGCGCGCTTCGGGCAGGAAAACAAATCGATGTGGTGGGCCCTAAGCACAGTTCCCAAGGGGGAACCTGCTCGATACCATGAGAAGATTTGAACAAGAATGGGTGAACTATGAAATGAAGTGAGTACAAATATGAAACCCTAATTGGTTGTACCCCCTGTGGGATACCCCACTATAGCCTACACAACAGCATAAGCTATAATGTTCTGACAAGGTGTATTTAAACATGGGCCATCCGTATAAGCAACAACACTCAGGTCGTTCGACTCTTTTCCCTAAGCCTATAGGGATCCGTGCGCTTCCTTAGCATTTGTCGGCAGACGTGGCCGTCATCGCAGGCGCCGAACTTTTCTGTGCGCGCGAACCAAGCCGGAATTGCTCTGGTAGGTGTATTTAAGCATGGGCCATCCGAATAAGCAACAACATTCAGGTCGTTCGATGTTTTTCCCTACGCCTATAGGGAACCGTGCGCTTCCTTACCATTTGTCGGTAGACGCGACCGTCATCGCAGGTGCCGAACTTTTCTGTGCGCGCGAACCAAGCCGGAATTGCTCTGGTAGGTGTATTTAAGCATGGGCCATCCGAATAAGCAACAACATTCAGGTCGTTTGATGCTTTTCCCTAGCACCATGTCACTGACAGCCCACGGCATGCGCTGCAGCCCTGCCACGCCCACCACCCACTGCCCCACCGCTTGCCCCTCCTCGCCTGTTGCCGCAACGGTAGCCAGCAGCACTGCAAAGCGCAGGCTTGCCCTGCGCATCACGTGCCACTTGCTGCCCTCTGATGCCTGGAGAGGAGCGACAGACTGTGGCCGCCAGGATGGGGCTGCACGTGAGGAGGCAGCGGGCGGGTGGAAGGCTTGCAGGGAGGAGAAGACGAGGGAGAGGGTCCAGCTGGAGGCGAGCTTGGCTGCGAACTGGCGGGCGATGGGTGCGAGGGCGGGCAGGGGACACGCTAGCACGTGGCTGAGCACGTCGTATGCGCGGGAGAGAATGGCAGCAGGGTCGGAGAAAGGAGGTGGTGATGCTGCAGGTTGGGGCGCGTGCATGTGACCAGGTGGGGGCTGCGGCTGCGGGTGCAGGGAGAACATGAAAGGCGCGACGTGCATGTCCGCAGCAGCCATGAGAGCCGCGGCTATGTCATCAAGGCAGCACTTCAAGGCTGTGGGGGCGTGAGAGGGCGACACAGAGGGCGGCTTTGCACCCCACTCTTGAGTCTTGTCGGTCGCCCCTCGCATGTACGCCCCGCCAGTCCTACCAAGGCTTGTTGTGCCCCTTCCCCCCCCCCTCCTGTTGGCTGCTGTGGAACATGGGAGCGCCCTGGGATCCCCCCACCATCTCCAACAGCCCCACGTCTTGCTAGGACGATGTCAGAGCAGCAGCAGGAGCCGTGGAGTTGAGAGAGTTCGCCTGGGCGTGCAGGAAGCGCTGAGCACAGGCGTGCAGGAAAGTGAGAACAGCCACAGCCACCTCATCCGTGCCACCTGCAGCACCACATGCAGCTGCAGGGACGGCTGCTGAGGATGCCCCTTGGAGCTTGGCGCCCGTGCCTGTGAGTGACCCACCCCTGCTGGGCACGTCCTGAAGGGCAGGCAGAATGGACGGCCCATCACCCACACACTGCTCCAACAACCGCAGCACCTGCATGTTCTCTGTGCCTATGATGCTCTGCCACGTGGCGAGCACAGCGAGGGCGAAGCAGGCGGTGGAGAAGGCTTCATTCTGGTCCAGCACCCAGCGCTTCCTCTCCCGTGCGTCCACGCAGAACTGCCGCACCACCCCTGCCAAAGCAGACGCCAGCGCATGCAGCCTCGCTGGAGGGAACTGACTGGCATCCCTAGGGCTGGCACGCGCGGAGCGCAGGGCGTGCAGGAAGACGGAGATGGAGAGCGCCTGTAGATGGAAGTCGTTGGCCTCTATGGCGTTGTGCAGCAGCGATGCGAGCGTGTCGAAGCCAAACACAAAGCGCCGTGCAAACGCCTGCCCTGCAGCTCCAGGCGACGCTGCGAGGTGCAGCAGGCATGAGAGGGCGGCCGGCACCAACGGGTCCGCTACTAATCCTGGGATGCACAAGGGCAGCGCACAGAGAGTGAGAATAAGACGGGTGTGATTATCACACAGGGCGAGGAGTGTGGGGATGCAAACAAAGTGCGCCACATTGGTTATGTCGCAAGATGGGATGCGGCACATCAGCAGGCGGTTGCAGTGACTGGCTGGGAAAGGAAGGAGTGTTGCTGACCGCTGTGTGCAGAGTGGAGCAGCTCAAAGACGTGCTCTGCCAGCCCCTCATCCAGCATCGCCTGTAGCGCCGCTGCTCCCCGTTCATCCACCATCCCCCCACCATCACCCCGCCTCATATCATCCTGGTTACACCAGTCCTCCTCCCACGCCTCCCTCACCACCCAGTCGAATCTGGACCGTTCGTCGGAGGCAGAGCCGTGAGGGCGCAGAGGAGAGAGCGAGTTGGGAGATGAGGTGCAGGGCTGCGAGATGCAGGGCGGAGTCAGCAGCGAGCAGTGTCTTCTTGAGCACCTCGCACAGCATCATGCGCAGGCCCAGGGGGCCCTTGCCCTGCGTGTGCACGGCCTGGCTCGCACGGGGGTTCTGAGATCCCACTGCCACGCAGCCCTGCGAACCAAGCCCGTGCATGGCAGCACCTCCCGGCTGCTGCGCTTCTGGGTGGTCCAGACGCGCGAGTGAGGAGAGGGTGAAGGCAGGGTGGGAGGGAGCGGAGAGGGCGGTGAGGAGGGCGACGCAGTTGGCAGAGACGTCGTTGCTGTCCGTGGAGAGCAGCAGGGCGATGCCCGCACACACCATGCCAGGCAGCTTCTCCTCCAATAGCTGCATGCCACCTGGCAGGCTGCAGAGCTTGAGCAGGACGAACAGGCTCTCTGCACGAATGCTGTCCCTGCAACACCGATCAGAGCCAAAGAGAACAGGAGGAAACTCGCATAAAGCATGGTAAATCGGTTATGTCCTTCGCACGAGGGACAAGAGGAATCTACGAACGAATTCGACGGAAGTGATGCAAGGTGCGATTCGTATTGTGCCTGCTTGTGAAGCGTGCTAACCACGTGACTCCACAGGCCGCTCTGCTGCGCCAACCACGCTGGCAACGCGCTGTAACGGTTGCACGCGACCGTCAGGAGCTTCCCCAGAAGGACCAGCTGCCACGGACGCGCATTCGAGCGATTGCATAAAAATCAAACAACAACAAAAAGTGATGCATTAAGATAGCAGAACATCGGGCGCAGCGGCGTACGAGGAAGCAGTGGCCGCTGGAGGAGGAGGCGACGGGGATCTTATCCATCTCCACCGCCATCGTGCGAACCAGATTCTCCAGCAGCAACCCCTCGTCGCTTGCACTCGCGTCGTTCCTTCCACCTCGGCCGCTCCCCTTGCTCACGAGAAAGACCACCAAGTCCGCTAACGTCGCCGCCAGCTCCTCGTCTCGCGAGCACCTGAGGGCCTGCACGAGCGGAGCCGCGAGCAGGTAATGCGACTCGGCCGCGACCAGACGGCATAGGTCGGGCTGGGATCGAAGCGTGTCGAGGAAGAAGCGCGCCGATATGATTTTGTGCGTCGCGAGGCCGGGCCCTGAGAGCGTTTCCGACAGACATTGCGGGCAGAACTCGGAGCCGGTCGCGAGGAGCATGGCAAGCGTGTGCTGGCACCGCGGCGCACCCCCTTTGCCTTGCCGTCTCGCGGAATTGCTGGGGAGATTATACCTATCCATGGCGGGAACAGCGCATCCAGTGTGGATCCAGTACTACTGGGCCTTTTGCTGCTGCAATTGGTGTGGTGGCGGGTGTTACGGGCAGGGCAAGTGGAGGGGTCCATGGCGACGAGTGCAGCAGTGAGCAACGACGTCTTGGAAGAGGAAAATGGAAATCTCGAGGCAGCCCTCGGCTTTGGTTCCAGCCGTGGAAAAGTGGAGCCTCTGCTGGGATTGCCGCGGTAAATTCGCCACAGGGTGATTCGGGAGAATTTCCTTACTACAAAGTATTGACAGTCTTGGTGCACATGCTTTTTTTGTCATGGATGACCTCTACATTAATAAATTAATATATTAGCATTAGTACAAAGGTGCATCAGCACGCTCTTGTGAATGCCATAACCACCCGCAAGCCATATATACACAGCCATATGGATGTGGAAGCTCCCAGTGATGACATGACACCCCATGGCTCCACCAAGCAGCAACGCGGATGCTTGGTTGTTTTCCAGCCATGGTATTTTGTTAGAAAAGAACACACCATCAACTTGACCAACGACCACCCTCAATCCTCCCACACCACTGCAGCAGCCTCCTGTGCAGCGCGGTGCACTCCCAGCCAATCAGGCAGCACGCGCTGTGTGACCGCCAGCTGTGCTTGGATCCCTGCCACCTCCTCCGCTGTCTCGGGCAGCCACCCACTCCTCCTCCCATCACACCCGCCACCAGTGTCAAGCCTTCCCTGGCCTCCTCCTTGCGCCGTGAGAAGACCCTTGAGGCGTGACACACACTGGCTCGCCACTGCTCGCACTGCCGCCACTGCTGCTGGTGAGTGGGGCTGAGACGAGGGATTGTGAGGAAGCGAGGAAGGAGAGGGGCGGGAGAGGGTGGCAGCAGAGAGGGAGGAGGTCCGGAGGAAGGAGGAGGGGGAGGGAGCGGTGGCGGCGACAGGCAGGGTGGGGGAGAAGGCGAGGAGCAGGAGGCCGGAGGAGAGAGCGAGAACGACATGGTGAGGGGGTGGCCAGGCTGTGCTGTGAGGCGCAGTGGAGGCATGGCGCTCCAGCTCTGCTATCAGGGCGGCAGCTTGCGGCAGGAGCAGTGCGGGAGAGAAGGCACCGGGATGTGAGGTGGCGGGCCCTGCTGCAGCTGCTGCTTCTATGGCTGGGCGTGAGTGGAGGAGATCGTACTGCAGGTCCGCCCATATGCATGCTGCCACCACCTGCACGGCACACACGGCATGGCACACACAGGACCGGGAGATGGGAAGAAGCACCACCATGACGCACAGACTCATTGCAACACGGGCGATATCAATGGTTGCCCAGGATGCACCACAGTAGAGTGTAACATGGGCTCAGGCAGCAGAGCACTATACCTGCAGCAAGGTGAGGCGATGCACGGAGGTGCCTGTGTAGCCCTCAAACGAGGTTCCACCGCCGCCACCACCCATTCCAGCGTTGTGTTGCGCGCCCGATGCGAGGGCAGCAGCCACCTTGGCGCGCATGGGCAGCGCTGCCAGCACCGCCACCACTGCCATCCCGTACTCCCACCCCTCCCCGTCCAGAGGCACCAGCTTCGGTGGCTTTCCGAGGCTCGCCAGCAGGTTTGGCAAAGTGGTTCGGCGAGCAGTGGCATGGCTCTCGCTGAGGCTGCGGGTGTAGGAGGTGGGGGGGTCAGTGGCACCCAGGTGGCCCTTGCGGTGAGGGGCGGTGGGCCCTTTGTTCACACTCCTTGCTAGGGAGTTCACTCGACTCTTGGTCCTTGCCCCCATGCTGCTGATGTGGCGCAACGAGGGGTTGCCACGTGGCAGGGAGAGGCGCGTGGGGCTGACATCCCTGGGTTGATTGCGAGTGGTCACCCACACGGGGAGGGAGAGTGAGGACGTGAGCTCAACTGGCCCGTCCCCCTCACCCTTGCTACCATTCCCACCGCCTCTCCCTCCACCCCACCGCCTCCCGGCCCCTTCTCTACCCCTCCCCGTGCCCTGCTTCCCTGCGCTCGCCCCCTGAGTCCCCAAACCAAGGCGGCTCAAGCTGCTCCCTGTTGCCACTGTCACCACACCTCCCCTCCCCTCGCCACTCCCCGCTGCCCTCACGTGACTGCGACTCCCTCGGAACCCACGGCTGTTCAAGCTCTGCACGGCAACAGATAAAGTGGCTAGTCTAACCTCGTACTCACCCAACAGTGGCCAGCAGGGAGATGTGTCATGTGCTGCTGCTGGCCTTTCCTGATACCGTACTTGCAATGGCACCTGTTGGAACTATTGAATGAATTGTGCGCATGTTGCACCTGTTGCAAGCAATGCTGCTCCTGCTATTACTTTGCTGCGACGTGTGCCATAGGCCATGCAAAACGGCTGGCTGGTTGCCATAATACTGATGTACCGATAATCCATGACTTGGTGCAGGTACTGGTAACTTGGTGAAAATGCGAGTGTACAATTCCAGCACACAGACGACCAAGCGCAGACTGTGTACTGTGGAGTTGGGGGCAGCTCCCTATTCCTGCTCTCTCCTGCTCATCTCTCCCTCATCGCCCCTTACAGCCCACGGTAACTCTGAAACACTCCACCCACTACTAGACCCTCACCCTGCCCTGCGCCACGCCCCCAGCTCACTGCTCGTGCCAAACGCCACTCCAATCTTGAAGTCAGAGGAGCTCTCGCTGCCCGTGCCCCGCGCAGCATAGTAGAGAGGTCCTCCCATGCGTGTACCCCATCCCCATCATCCCCACTCTCTTCCCCTTTCCCTCCCACATCCCTTTTACTCTCCTCTTCCCCAGCTCCCCTCCCCTCCCACGGCCCAAACACCGGTCCTCCTGGTTCGCGCCCTTCCATCTCAACCTTCCCCCACGTGAACCCATCCCGCGAGACCGCCAGCCCAATGCCATGCCTGCCGTCCCCCCCCAGGCCCTCATACCACATGGCAAGCACGCCCCCATGCACAGTCACGTGCCGCCGCCCCACCCCTGCTGCGTCCCATGCACCGGGGGGCCCTGGGGAGAGGATGGGGCCGTGGCGGGTCCAGGCGAGGCCGTTGGGGGAGGACGCGAGGAGGACGCAGGAGGGGGAGGCGGAGGACATGGCGCTGTAGGTCATCAGCCAGAGGTGCTGAGGGGTGGAGTGGGGTGGGGAGTGGGCATGAGTTGGGAGCACAGGAATGGTGTGAAAGTGGGGAAGGGCACAGAGACGGATGGTGGGACCGAAAAAAACTACGAGGAATCACACGAGAGGTCCCTGGAGGACATACGAGCAGGAAGGAAAAGAGCAGCAGGGCAACACGAGCCGAGCAGTGGAGTGGGCGCGAGTTAGTAAGCGCGTAGAGGCAGAGCTGCGTGTAGCAGCGAGCGACTCACGTGAGGTAGTGTTGCTTGAGCAGGGTGGGAGGCAGCAGAAGCGTTGGTATGGGCGAGCATGGAGGGAGTGAGCACTCGCGGCCAGGCCACAAACAGATCATCCGGCTGCCCTGCTGCGCCTACATCCACCACCACCCCCTCCCGTGCTGCTGACAGCGCACCGCCAGTGCCACTCACACCAGCAGCGCCACCAGAACCACCCGCAGCGCCGGCAGTTGCGACGCGGTGGAAGTGAATGCCATCTGGGGACGTGGCAACGCCGATGCGCATGGTGGCACCATGCACGCTCACCCCCGGCCGCACCTCACGCGCCTCATGCACCATGCACCTGCTACCCCGTCTTGCCTCTTGTCATCCCCTCCCCTTTTCATGCCCCCCTTGCCTGTATCCCCAGGCTCCACCCACACCACATCGCCGCACCCCACGTGCAAGGAATCAAGCGCTGCCGGGTCGTGCGAGCGCGGGGTGAGAATCGCCCCGCCTGCCTCCGGCCCTCTCACTCTGGTCCACGCCATGCCGTCGCTGCTGATTGCCTGGCCTATGCTGCCCGTGGTGAAGAGCGCGGGGAGAGGAGGGAGGGGTGCGGAGGCGGAGGATGAGGCGGAGGAGGGAGGAGGAGGAGGCGGAGGAGGAGGAGGAGGAGGCGGAGGAGGAGGAGGAGGAGGCGGAGGAGGAGGAGGCGGAGGGAGGGGAAGGACTGTTTCCCCCCCATGTGTTACTGGAGCGGCCATAATAGTACATGCGCCAATACCTCTCCAATCCGCCTGCTGCTAGCTCGTCGAGTCCCTGTGGTACTGCTGCTGCTGCTGCTGCTGCTGCTGCTGCTGCTGCTGCTGCTGCTGCTGCTGCTGCTGCTGCTGCTGCTGCTGCTGCTGCTGCTGCTGCTGCTGCTGCTGCTGCTGCTGCTGCTGCTGCTGCTGCTGCTGGCCCTTTTACTGCATCACCGTCTGCGTCTGCTGTTGCATCAGCTGCTACTGCTGCGTGTGCGGGCGGCAGGACCACGGGGTGGAAGAGGCACTGCGCGTCCCACCACGCGCCATTCCCCTCTTCTCCCTCTCCCTCGCGCAAGCTCGACCCCTCAGGCGGGCTGAAGATGGGCGCTGCGCTGCCCTGCTGCGCGTGGCATCACGGGGGAGGGCGGGAACGGCGGGGAAGGAAGGGAAAGGAGGGAAACGAGGTATGCCGCTACTTCCGCTCACCCCACACCTCTCATCATCCGATCCCACCCCACGACATAATCATGAAGAGAAATTGATAACCGCGCAGCACCGTTTCCCACACCTGACGCTCGTTCCACGCGCGCATGGCGTCGCTTCGCCCAGCCTCTCCGCGTGCCGCCCGCCGGCGCTCCGCGTCTCCCCGCTGCGCGCCAGTCGAGCTCGCGGCGGGCGTTTGCAAGGCGACGACGGCGGACAGGCGCACTGCGCGCGGCGGACTGACCGCAATGCCAGCCGTAGCGGGGACGGGCCTGGCGCTGACTGCGCGGGGAGCGGGACGAGATGTGACAGCGACATGCGGGGAAACCTCGAAAGATGTGTCGCTGCTAAAGCGGCCTGTTAAAGAGCGAACGCGAGTGGACGGAACAGCTTCCAGTTTCCAGGCGCTTCAAACGGCTTTCAAAAAACCTTTCCACTGAGTGGTCGCCGAAGACCGTGCACCTATGGAGACAGTAAGTTAAATCTTATGTTTGAGTTATGGGCATGCACGCTTCTCGCGTGCGGACGATACGCGACGACGAGGCTGAAATCTGCGGTCGTGTAGGCATTGCCGAGTAAAACCAGAGTATTTCTTTTAGATCGGAATGACGACTGCGAGGAGCTGCCGACCAGTCTAATGAACACGGGTATGGTGGAGGAGCATAGCGTGGCATGACGATGAGCTAACGTTTGTTGGCAAAGGTGCATGGGGACAAGTCTGACAACTCTGTCGAGAATTGGCGGCAAAGCCGAGGCGCGGGATCATATCGAAGCTGATACCGAGCATACAGAAGATCAATCCATAAAACAAAGCATAACTTCGAGATTTCTGTAAAGCTACGCAAATGTACAACTGCAATAGCAATACAACAATATCAATACAACAATATCAATCCAGCAATAAATACCACTCAAATTACGTATTCAGGGACAAATTTATAAAACATATATACATATATTTGGTGACATCAGTCACGGATCCACTTTGCTTTCCCATTTCGAGGCCCAACAAGTTGATAGGAATGGAAGAAAATGGTTGAACATCACTGCAGTGTCCTGTGGAAGGATTGTGGTATTTCCTAATCAAATCCGCAAGAGTGCCAACAGCAGTGATGAGACAGTGGTTCCAGGCAGGTGAGAGGCGGCATGAGAAGCGCCCAAGGATAGGCGCCGTCACCACCTTTGCTTGGGTGAAGGAAGGCGTGTTGCCCATGCAAAGTATTGGGTTGGAATGACGTAAGAATGGAAAGCAGCAAGGGGGCACAATTATGTGAGCATGAGTCGTTGAATAGATGGCAGAGAACCAGCACCCCGTCCCTTGGGAGGGACGCTGCGCAAGCACGGCAGAAGGGAAGGAACGCCTGTGGATGGGACAGAGAGAAGGAACGGCACACAGAGATGGGACGGCACACAGAGAAGGAACGGCACACAGAGATGGGACGGCACACAGAGATGGGACGGCACACAGAGAAGAGAATCGCAGAGAAGAGGCGTTCCCGCCCATTTCACCCAATCACAGTAGCATAATACCAAACAATCACTGTAGCACACCAAACAATCACTGTAGCATACCAAACAGTCATGGTAGCATACCAAACAGTCACTGTAGCATACCCAACAGGCACTGTAGCATACCCAACAGTCACTGTAGCATACCCAACAGTCACTGTAGCATACCCAACAGTCACTGTAGCATACCAACCAATCACTGTAGCATACCAAACAGTCAATGTAGCATACCAACTAATCACTTACACCACACTCATCATCACTCTGTATCATAGCACACCTTATAATAGCACTCATAATCAAAACATACTGTATCATACCACACTTTATCATAGCTCATTGTATCATACCACCCTATCTCATCTCTTACACTACCCAACCCACTCTGCCTCATCCCGCCCTTTTCATCCCAACCCATTCTCACATCCCACTACCCACTTCACCATCAGTACCCACTACAACAATCACCATCACCACCACCTCCCACCTGACCATCCAACCCACTCTGCCTCGTACCTGCCACCACCCACCACCCACCATCCCCCACCTGACCACAGAGCACTGCCGTTGGGAGGCAGCAGGCAGAGTGGAAGGGCGCTGCAGTGAGAGGTGTGCTGCACCCCGTGCCTCTCTCCCACTAACCCACCCACCTTACAGGTTCCAGCCTCCATCCCAAATCACCCACCCACTTAAGGGGTTCCAGCCCCCATCTCTCTCCCCCACTCACTACACGCCTAAGCGTTTCAGTCCCCATTTTTTATTTCCCACTCACTTACCACCTAAGGGGTTTCAGCCTCCATCCCTCACCCACTCACTCACCTTAAGAAATTCAGCCAACATCCATCTCTCTCTTCACCCTTAGGGTGATTCAGCCCCAATCCGACTCTCCCTCCCGCTTCACCCACTTTGGAAGGGACACCACCATAATCTCCCATGCAACAAGTGACATCAGTGCAACTCATCATGTGCCACCAACAACAGGTGGCATCAGTGCAACTCATCATGGGAGAGACGGGAGAGCGGGAGAGGGAGAGAGCGGGAGAAAGATGGAAGAGAGGAAAGGTTAGTGGCAGCGCGGAAAGAACCGACTCGAAGCGGCACGAAACGGACTGCCGACCGCTGCTCTACGCGGCGGACGCCTACCCGCTCCCCGAAAAGCGTCTCCCCGTCACTCACCACCAGCGCGGAATTGACGACATCAGGCGCGCCGCCGTCTCGAATCCGCGTCGACGGGACGAGTCATGGCGAAGTCGACGCTCACTGTTAGGCGTCCGCCGAGTTGATAGGAACGCATTGCTGGGGAACGCTTTGAACGGGCGATTCGGAAACTGGAGGCTTTGCAGGATTGGTTTTGGCGTTGCCGAAATAGGAGCGATTGGAGTAGGCAAAGATTGCACGAGCGTGTGAGTTGAACAAATTAACGCCGTTCCTGGTGGGCCGCACATGGAGCCGCAGGAGGGCTTGCGTCGCCGGATACAGGTGCTAAGTGAAAAGTGAGCAGCAGAAAATGAGTGATCATAGCAGCGGCGACCCTGCTTTGCTACCGCTTGGCAAGAAGGACGAGGCGAACGAGGCGAAAAATGAGACAAGCAGGTTGCTCGAGGCAAGGAGGTGCTGAGGAGAGAAGCACGGCTGGCTGACGGAGCTCAACGGCGTGAGGAGTCACACAAGGAGTCACACAAATGAGGAGATGAGCAGGCGGTTAGCGGGAAACTATTGTACGTGTGGCTCAGCGTCCCTCGCCCGCATCCACTCATGAGAATCCACTCGCTACAAAGGTGACTCGCGATAGTCATTTTCCGTGCAGAGAATCAAAACTGCACTAAATCTGTTTTTCCATATGAAAATTCAGCAAGAATAATGAGCCGTTCCGCATCCACACATCGTCTGTTTCAAACGAGTATGCACTTGTCTGTCACCAAACGGGCTTCAATTCATACAGCAACCGCATCTCTGCTGGAAGCAACCACCGCAGGCACAGTGTGCACAGCAGATGTGCGTGGAGGTCAAAGGTATCTCTAAATTGCTGATGTGGCGGTACCTATCGGGACAGCTCAGCAACTTTTTTCAGCCAGCGTGTCACTTCTTCGCGGAACCACAAGTTAAGGTTAAGGTTATATTAAGGTCGTAACCATGTACAGCAAAGCATAGAGAAGCTAGAGATATGGTCTACACAAACCAAACGCCCAAAGGCGTACGTAGGAAACACGTTATCTCCATATCCTACGGATAACCGCCAGCACGGCTGGGGAGCTCTCTATGCTAAAAAAAGGAAGGCCTAAGGGGGGCGAAAAGGGTCATCGAGCAGCCAGGATGCGCGGAGGTCAGGGCGAATGGAAGGGGTGCCGTCATGGTAAAAAACGAGGAAGCGAAATTGAGTGGCCAGCTTGATACGAGCGGCTGAGCGTCGTTGTTTTTTCACTGATTGTTTCTTCCGTCGCCAGAGAAAGATTTTGAGCGCAATGAGGAACTGTGCTAGGATGAGTTGGAGAATCTCAAACCGGGAGGAGGGTGAGTCGTGTAACTTGTGTTCACAGCACGCGTTCCAAATGGCTTTTGCAGATGCTCCAACCAAGAGGCTCCAGGGGGCCACCTGGCCAGTTCTAGAGGCGAGTGGAAAGAGCAAGAGTTCAGGAGGAGGAGAGCAGCGGAGGTGACGACGAGCGACGGAGGAGAGAGCAAAGATCACTACAGGGGCCACCCCGCACTCGTAGAAGATGTGGGAGATAGTCTCTGTGGGTGCGGCAGTGCAGAGTGAACAAATCCCTCGGTCTGCGGCAAAGTTGAAACGCGAACCCGAAGGAAGAGCGCGAGTACAGGACATCGCGTTCTAGACTGGGTTGCTCGCGTAGAAAATCATGGGAGAAGTCAGGGATGAGAGGCGGAGGAACTGGGAGGACGTGGATCCAGCGGGGGGCGTGGTCAAGTGGAAGCTGAGTGTAGAGGCGGCGACGGATGTCAGCTACACTTAGGCCTCCGTCCTGTAGGATGTCGAGCCGCGCGCCGAGCCCTGCACCTGTATAGAAGGGGCCTGCAAGCCAGGACCCAACGACATGCACCGCGCAGAGGTCACCTATGTTAAAGGTGCCATCTCCAAACGACGAGCGGACGATGAGCCGGTTGGGAAGGACACGATGAAGGGACTTCATGTTCGCGGAACCACAGGTGATGATATTTGGGGTCGCTTGTCCAGTCGTCAGCAAGTGTTCCAACAGGAGTGTGGACAACTTCGCACGCTTGCAACAGTTCCGTGGCGAAGCTTCCTTTGGCGACATGATTGTCACGTCAACAGTCAGCCTCATCTTTCCCGCGTTTTTGTCGCTGTGCACAGCGCCAAAAACCACTGACACTGAGTTGGGATGCGCCGTCGAAAGTCTCAACCTGGTCCGCCCTTGAGCATTTGGGAACGTAGCAAAATTTTGAGACGCAATACTTTCACGTCGGTAGGATGCTTCGAAGCGTAGTGCAAGTTTTACAGTGGACCAGAGTGCGCAGCATGTGGGTGTGAACTGCCAGTACATTTCAAAGCCACGCAAACACGCGGGTCCTCATTTCAGGATCGTAAAAAACGGGTTATTTATCGCATGCGATATGTTTACC